CGAAGACAAAGAAGCCACAGTGCGTTGCAACGATGTCGATGACCAATAAGCCCGATCTTGAAGGTTGATCCGATGAGTATCCATTAGCTGAGACACAACTGGCTGTAGATCTGAAAGCAGACCGGAACCATGTACATGCCAGCGTCGAGCAAGTTTGCGAAGTTGTGTGGTGAAACGTTGATGCAATAAGTCGACATCACCGAAAAACTGATCCTTCATCGAGGCGGTCATGATTTCAATGTTAATGTCCGCATTGATGCGAGAAAACTCATCCAACATTACTGCGTGACCATGTGCACGGTGTAGATGGCTATCATCGATGTCCAAACAGCGACACGGAAAGAATGTGTCAGGCGCCCATTTGCGCTGCCATGTGCGATAGTTGTATATCTTGTCGCCCAGTGTGGCGCTGCGAGTTTCCACAACCCGGATCTTTGGAAGGAAAAGAGAGGGGAACAGATCCCGATGAGAAGCAATCCAGCTTTGTAACCATGTGCCCAGTAGAGCTTTCCAATTCTGGACATGCAGCGGCGGCAAAAGTAGCTGTGTTAAAGTGGTGGGTGGTTGTAGCCGTCGTTTGCGTAGTACCTGGGCGAGGAGCTTCTGGGCCTTGGAGCGGAAGGGTTCGTTGACAAATACTGCGAGCCGCAATAAGTAGTACAGCTGAGTGGGAGGGAAAGCGGCTGACAGTAGGTCACGCATGACTTGGAACGACGCTCCTGTATTCGATCCCAGCTGATAGAGGATCGAGTAGTGGGCTTGAATGTCATCCAGGGTGTCAGGTCGTAGTTGCCGTTGGAGATCCGGATGTAGTCGTCGTCGAAAGCGCTTGTGCAAGCCGAGGGAAGTGGGCGACGACAACGAGTGGCGTCGAAAATCTACAAGATGTTCCCGGAAGCCCACCTTGCGCAAGATTCTGTGTACCCAGGGCGCATTCAAATGCGGGCGTAGCAGGAATTGCCATTTGCTTTCTTGAACCCACACCGAGGAAACAGGAAGTTTGATTTCCACTGGTACAGCACAGAAGAGCCAGTAAGTGTTGGATCGCTTCCAGTAGTGAAGCGCCGGTTCAAAGAAGGCATGCCGTCCACGAAGTAGTTGTAGAAATTTGCGACTGCGTGAGTGTTCACGACGTAGAACATCCTGATCAGTCGCCCCAACATAGTATGGTGCGTGCCATGGGGAAAGTCGAATGTAGACGCACGGTTGTTGGTGATGACCTGGATCATGTATGAAGTCGTAGAGGTCAGGAAATCGCGCCCGCAATCAGCGTAGATGTCGCGTGTCAGCGAAAGTTGAGTGCATGATTTCACACAAGAGAGAAGTCTTGTAGAAGTGAAGAACTTCGAAGAACGGCGGGATGTAGCCGTGATCCTGTGAAATGAGACGTTGTAAGAAACTGATCAATAAATAGGCAGCGCACCGACATCTGTGAAGTTCGTACCTGTTGGCCACGGTGTGCTGAGAGTTTGACATAGCGCAATTCGGAATCTGGAGGGCTATCCGGACCATAACTAAGACCTCGATGATGAGACCCAGCCACGGCAATTGTGTGATGGATTCGTACTCTTCAATTGGAATCGACGGTGGTGGTAGTCCAGGGAAACAGTAATGCCAGCACGTCGAGAATGTAGTCAACGAGTGCAGAAGGTCGTCCAGCGACTGCCATTGTGCAACATCATCATAGATTCCGCAATGGCGAAGTTCATCCAACATGGTGAGATGCAACCAACGAAATCTACCACAAGGCGGCGACATGAATACAAGCATCACAGACAATCACACAAGAGGCAATGCAAGAACAAGCAAGTACAAGATCAATCATGTGCAACGCAAACACTTGACGGACGAGTTTTCACCTGGACTCATCCGTGACATTGTTGCCGCTCCGGGCTCATATGAGAACGAAGGTCGATATGATGCCTTCTCATCCACAAAGCAGGCGAGCGGTCACGATGAGGTGACTCAATGCCTTCTCGGTGAGTTTGGTAAGGTACCCGGGTTCAAGACCCCATAGTGCTGCCATTGCACCGAGTGTGGGCGCATCGCCCTTCGGCATGCGCTGCCTGGCCTGAAGAAGCTGCGTCGCCATAGAATCTAACGACTTGTTGCCGTTGAGCCGGGACGGGTGATTGGCCCACTTAACCAGCGACGCCAAAGTGGTTGTTGTGGGTGCTTGCTTGAGGAAAAGGCGAGGTTGGTCACTGGTCCATGTGTAGTACTTGACAACTTCATCCGGCGTGCTGTGCATGGTGAGCAACTGTGACGCCGCCGGTTTGGACGGCGGTGACGACACTCCGTGAAGAGACTGCATGATCCGAGGTTGCACCACGCTATCAAACGACTTGCCATCCAGGGCGGCCGCGCTGGCTGTGGGAAGGGAGCTGGCAGGTGACGAGGATGGTGTGTGGTTGACCGGTGGCGGTGTAACCAACTCTGCATCATCTTTCTGGTTTGTCATCGTGGGCGAGGTCGATGCGCGAAGTGATGCGGAATACTGAGCCTGGAGAAGTTCATGTGCACGATTCAAGTCATTGAACTTCTTGACCATGTCATCGGTCTGGGCAGCAGGTGCGAGAGAGGTGTGATGTTGTTGAAGAAATTGAAGTACCAGGTTGGCCAAATGGTCGTGGACCTTGATGCGCTGATTGAAGTCATCAATGTTGAGACCCAGCGTGTTGGCAAGGTCCTTTTCCAGGGTGAGCAGGTTGAGTGACTGCGATCTTCGTAGTAATTTGGAGCAGGTACTCCAAAGTAAGGCCTCAGTGCGGGTGCGAAAGCCTTCCCACGTCACGAATCGGCCGTGTGCAAACGGCCTGAGCAGCCAGTTGGTGAGGCCCCCGTGGATAACCTGAACCAGGCGTACGTCCCTAATATCCATGCCTGACATGTCGCGAAGGTTGCCATGTGGAGTGTTGGCAACAGTCATGGGCAGGCTGAAGTTGTAGAGTTGATTGACATCAAACATGCCATCTGCAGGTGTCCAGTCAGGCGAGGGAGTAAGCCAGGCTTTCTGAGGACGAACCGGTAGAGCTGCAGGAGGTCCAGGTGAAGGTGTAGGTTGGGAAGTAGTGACCGGTGGTGGCATCATTGGTGGGATGAACTTGGACGGTGTGGGATCAGGAGGGATCGGCATCATGTAGTTGATCGCCGGGTATTGGAATTGCTGTGTGGGGTTGTGAGTCGATTGAAAATTGGTAGGCACCATCGGAAAGTTGTTAGCAGCATTGTAGCCGGAGTTGTGTTGCCATGAAACCAAGTTGTTCCAATCCATGTTCTCCGAGACCTGGTTGTCATTGTGCTCACGTCGGCGTGCTTTGTGAGCTTGAGGGGACGGACTCCGATCACGTCTGCGTCGAGTCCTGGATCTATCACGATCATCACGTCGAGACATGGTGACGCAACCAGATCGGAATTTGCACACTTCCACCTTGAGAGAATCAGACCCGACAATATTCAAATCCATGCAAATGCAAGTTAGCGGCCCTCAACTGCAATGGTCGAGCGAAATGTACAAGGCAAAGCAAATACAAGTCAGCAATCGACAACCGCAATGATACGAGCAACAAGTTCAACCAATGGTCAAGGTAGGCAATGAAAATCGGCAGCTATCAACTATGGTGAAACGTCACTATGAACTGACGGCTTTCTTCCCTTTAGTGAAACCTCGTTCCTGATTAAATGTGAAATTCCGCTGTTCTATGATACGCACGTTGAGGTCAAATTTTCCGACAGAGCCGGCCCGGGGTCACACAATGGGTACACCCGAGGATTCCCCACGAATGGGGTGTACACACTTGAACTCCAGATGGAGAGTGCTAATCTTTCGAGTACAACTGATGAGTCTCGAGTACAACCGACAAGTCTCGAGTATGATGAGTTTCGGCTCTCAATGCACTTGGCTTCCCTCTAGTGTCGAACACGTTACGAGCAAGAACAAGAAGCACAAACAGCGCCGCAACCAAGGGGCCAAAAGGACTTTCAGAATCACTGAAGCAGGTACAGGTGTCCACGTCTGGACACCCTTCCCACCTTTGGCAACAGCTTCATTGCGTGCAGTATGCCAAAGGTGCTGCACGCCCCTGCTGCGAAACCGAAAGGGTGGTGACAGGGCATTCTGTCACTCCGCACACACACACACACACACACACACACACACACACACACTGCCCACACAGCCCACGCACCCACGCACCCACGCACCCACGCACGCACACGCACCCACGCACCCACGCACCCACGCACCCACGCACCCACGCACCCACGCACCCACGCACCCACGCACCCACGCACCCACGCACACGCACGCACCCACGCACCCACGCACCCACGCACCCACGCACCCACGCACCCACGCACCCACGCACCCACGCACCCACGCACCCACGCACCCACGCACCCACGCACCCACGCACCCACCCACCCACCCACCCACGCACGCACGCACGCACACACCCACCCACCCACCCACACACACACACACACACGCCTGCTCAAATCTCATGGAAAAAGGGGAAAGCGGTGCTAATCAGTAGGGAAACAAAAGGACAAAATGGGGCAAAAGGAGAAAAAGGAAAATGGTGAGAAAGTAGGAAAAAGGGTTGCTATTGAGCAAAAGGGTCGTTTTTCGGGACTATCTCAGCAGTGGCTTGCCACTGAGGTGAAGTGCAGCAAGCTCGTTGAGATCGCACTCAGGTTCTCTGCGCTACAGTTGGAATGTGAGGAGGGGGGATCCCTCCAAGCCATTCACAAGGAAGAAACCCTTTTCCTGGTAGAGCGGCGCAGTCACAACAAACGAGGACTTCTCACCGAAAGGGTGGTGTTATACCCTATGCCTCAGCCAGGGTTGGGAGAGTCGGACTGAAGACTTTCCTTCCTCTAAGTTGCTACAAAATTGCCGGGGGGTTGGGGGGGAGATTGCTTGCTCACAATGTCATGACATGTACATGACTCCCCACACCCTTCACGGAAGCAAGGGCCGCGTCGCTCGCCCACTCGGCCTGATGAAAAAGGGCAGTTGGTCCTGAGCTCGCGATGGCCCACAGCCAGTGTTGCAAGGGAAAAGAAGAAACCAGCCAGTTTTGGCGTTCAAACGAACGGCCCCTGTTCCCCAAGAGTTGATCTGAAGGTTGGAAAGCCTCACTATCGATCGACCTTTATGTTATCTAAGCCAGCCGCCAAAAAATATGTATACTTCCCCCGTTGAGAGTCACTGAAGGGTGGCGGACGCCCCTCACACCAAACATCTCAGGAGTCAGATTACTTTGAGATTAATAGGGATGGACAATATTTGATATCGTGGCACAGCAGCTCGTGTGCATGAATAAAACTGGCAACCGCATATATATATATATATATATATATAATGATGGCTTGGCATGTTGAAAGCAAGTCCATTGCCCAAAAAACATGTCAGCGGGGTGCTATAACTTGTCACAGAGTGAACTCATCCAAGGCAGAGCAACGCGTGGGTGTGCAAACAAAGGGCGAGAAATAGAGCCAAATCTTCGGGCCAACAGAAAACACAGCCAGAATTCAATCTGTTCAACGTAACATACGATGCTTTGGTCAAGGCAGCATCGCCAGCTAGCGTGGACCATTTCCAAAGGACAGATCTCAAAACTAGCAACACCACCGTTTTCATCTATATACATCATTGACCTTGGCTTCGGGCTCAAGGTTTTCAGGGCCGAGCTACGGACCAACTTTTGAAAGGCGAAATGAGCAGTCCCTGAGATGACCGAACTCAAAACCTGGGTAACTACAGGTAGTCGGCGGCGCTTGTAGAGTTCAACATCGACGAGCGGGCAGAACTGATCATCGGAACCTGCCTCAAAGAGGACAGCCCTATCTTGAGGCGGGGGGAGAAACGGGGTGCTTGGTTGTTAGGCAACAATTCCAAGCAGAAGAAAAGGGCGGTGACTCAGATGGATTCGTCCCCTAACAAGTCCACCGCCAAAAAAGGTTCTTCCCTTCGGTTTCCCTTTCCGCCACCCTCAAGAACAGCACCCTCAAACAAGATATAGCCACACGCTTTTTTGTGCATCCCGCTTGGGCGCCCCGGCCAGAAAGCGCACGCGCCGGCCGGGGCCAGGATTGCTGAGGCCTGGGGCCAAGCCGACTCCGGGGGGCCAAAAGCCCGGCACCCATTGGCAAGATCGCTTGGTTGACTTGACGCAAACCAGTTGCGGTGTCTCCGGTGTTGACGCAGCATCCTTCCCAATTTAGTGTCTCGAGACATCCTTGCACGGGCTTCCGGATGTACCTTTTCGGGGAACCATGCCGGGGGATAAATGGAGGATCTGGACAAACTCGCAACGTATAACCTATCCCATCCCAGAAAGGGTTCCTTCAAAGTAAATCAATAACTAATAATTGCAAATTATTCTTGCACCCAGAATCCATGAAATTGAAGGACCAAGGCCTGCAAGGTATGTGAAGCGTGGCTCCCTGGAAAGGACCTCAAAGGGATCCTAACTAGGTTTCGCACAAAACAAATACCCTCGTTCAACCTTCACTCATCAGACCACGTATGCTTGCTGAGTAAAACAGTGATCTGGCTGATCAACATTCATTGGAACATAATGCAAGAGGTTACACATCTCTTTGGGGTCGCTATATTTGTGGAAAAAGCTTATCCCTAGCCTAGTTGGCCCACAAACTGTATGATATATAACTACATATGGCTCATCTCGCGTGGAGGTATAAGGTACATGGTGACTTTCCTTGACAAAGTAGCGGCCCGCAAACATGTCATGATGTTTCTGTCTGAAGGCCATGTTCCTTGGGTCCAAGGGTGATTCAATTCACGTAAAAATCGCCCACTGGCGGCGTGAAAACGACAAGGTGTTGGATTGGGTTCTGTCAAGTACCAGGCCAAGAAAGCAAGGCACGTGCAGAAAGGAAAGGCCTATGCTTTGCTTAAACAGGGGGAATGCAATGGAACAAAGGCCTGTTTAAGCAAGGCCGGAATGTAGGAGCACTTTGCTTAAACATCAACTCTGACCTCAGGAGATATGCAAATACAGCGAATATTCGGCTTCCTGGAGAATATTTAACGGATTACAAGGAACAAGAATCATACAGTATTCTTGGGCAGAAGATTGAACCATAGGTCGGAAATCCCAAAACACTCAGGGTTCGAGTCTAAGCCGTTGAAGCAAAGCCGGGCCCGGGCCCACTCCAGGGCCCGTGCGCAAGAGGTACCTGCCATGCGTCCGCTCGCTGCGGCCCTCCTGACGAAGAAATCGATACGCCTTGAAATGAAATCGCAGAGATACAAGCAAAGCCGTTGAGATGTTCCCGCGGCTTGGCTTCCGGCCCAGTGTTTCTGGTCATTTCGGTGGGTGCTGAGGACCTTGGGGCATAAGGCGTGATGGCGAAGGTCTGTTTTTCTTTTCTCTGTCAATCAACCCACAGTTCGATCCATACCCCAATTCGTGGTCTGTCATGCCAGTGGCCATACATAGCGAGATCATCTGCGAATAATGCCAGCTTGTTGTTTGTCCTCTCCAAATATTGTCGAAAACAAAAGTAAAATCTCCGACATGCCATTAGAGACAAGAAAAAGTTTGGCGCATGATGACTGTTGGGACACTCAAACCTCTCAAATGGTGGGCTGAGTGCACCCGTTCATCCAACTTGCTCATCCCCAGACTTATGTCTTGCAACCTTCTAGGCTGCAACCTTCTGGCACGTGCTAGCGAACTGTTACCGCGCCATGAACCTTCACCCAAAACCCAGGCGGTTGCAAGACTGGGGGGGGGGGCTCACCAAGAAAAAAGATCCCCAAGTGTCCACCATCCACCCCCCCCGTTCGCGCTCGATTTCCTGCGAGAGCATGTCTCGCATCACGCTAAGGGTCTCTGAGGAGCTCTCCTCCCAGGGCCCGCCTCGGTCAATGGGACCTTTCAGCCGGGCGCTTGATTTTTGGAGCAAAAGTACCCTCCGACCCCCGAACGTCAGGTTCCATGTCAATTGGTGGGGGAGGGTAAACCAAAACAAGGCCAGTTGGGTAATTAGAACGAAAAGGCAAGGCTGAGCATAACGGTTGATAGCCCCTGGGTCTTTGTAGCAACCCCTTTCGGCAACTCTGACCTTGAACTGGTTGAAGGCTTGGAATGACTGCTTAACTCAAGTGAAACCGTGACAGTTCTTTTGGGGCCTATCCTTTTTCAGAATTCGAGCAAGTGCGTGTTTTTTTCATGGAAGGCTCTCAGTTTTACGTATCACCAATGTGGCTCGCATGCTCTAAACCAAGTTGGAGAGACGTCAATCCTTGGTAAATCTAGGGACAAGTCTTGATGATAAATGACTTGACAGATTCGCGGAAGCGTGGTTCCTCCGCGAAGGCGGGCCCAATTACTCTCTCTATGGGACCCAAAGACATGGCTACGAGTCAAAAGTGGGAGGGCGGCAGTTGGCTAACATAAACGCACCGGCTCTAAAACCCAATTGCCCAATCTGCTGAAACCAAGTCCATTCATGTGAGGTTCTTCCCAACACATCCCTGGAAAACATCAATCGCTTCACACACACACACACACAAAATCAGCCAAGCTGCAAGAGGACACATGTGCGCTTCCCAAATGGGTGTTCATTCCTTTTGGCTGGCTTCTTGAGGAAAAGGGGACAGCAAGCATCTGTTCAAACCTGTTACAAAAGATTCAAATACCAAACGGCCACTCAACAGCTTCGGGCTATGGGAACCGACGGAGTGCCATCTCGGACGGGGCCCCGGCTGAAGTACCTCGGCGCGTGTCTCGTTGCTTAGGGAAAAATCAGCGCTTGGAATCCTAGAATCCAACAACACACTCAGCCGAAAGAAGAGGGGGTCTGCCCTTCACTGAAAGATGTCAAAATAGAAATTGGAAAACAAACAGCATTCAAAATTGCCCTCTAAATGGTTGTTCAAAGGGAAACCAGCCTCAAAAGGAACTTTGCCAACCCCTCAAAACAGTCGCTTTGAGAATCCATGAAGTGAGGCAGGATCGGCTGGACAATGCTCACAAGTCATTGCAACAAAAACCAAAACAGAACACTTCCCCACGGCCAGAGCTGAAATGCTAGCATTTTGGGCAAAACCATGGTAGTTCACACACACACAATTGCACGGGGACGGGTTCTCTGGAAGCAGCCTGGTTTAAGTGCAAGCTGACAGTGACTCTGGCTGCCAAGGCGGTACAGGCTTATCAAACAAACTGACGGGGGCTCTCTCAGCTTTGCTTTGCCTGCGCTAGTGGTTGGGGCCATGTGTGGACCTTTTGACCCACCTGGTTCTGCGTGGAAACCAGAAGAGGGCAGTGCTCTGGCAGCGTTGGAGTCCGGGGCTCTCACAAAGGCGAGCTCGGGACTCGTTCCAAATTGGTACATCATGGTGGTTCCCCTTCAAAACTGAGTCAGAATCAAAACCTGATATTAAAAATGTCGACCCAGAACCATGCAAAGAATTCCAAAGGCGGCTACACCCATTTATGGTTGGGATTATCCGTTCCCTCCAATTACCCGGGTTTTTAATGTGACTCAACTGTTCTTTTTCAGCCGGGTCCAACCAAGCTTTGACACCCGCAGTCCACCTCGAATTTTCATCGAATGAAAGCCAGGCTCGAGCCTGACAGCTTCCGAAGCTGCCACAGCCTGCATATTTTCTCTGAGTTCCAGTGCCCCACAGGTAGCTGACTTGATGGATTGATGAGAATCTTCCGGCCGTATAGAAAGGATCCCCTGCCCTTTGGCAGACCCTCATGACCACCTGTTTAGGCTCACATGAGAGGCTTGCACATCGCATCAGGGCCCACCCGTCTGTGGGGTGTCCTCGTTACTTCCTGAAATCCAGATCCCCCCTCGCTTTCACCAGCTTTCGTGGGGGGTGGTCCAAATTGGGGACCCACGTTTGCATGTCGTTTCAAGGGAAACAATAGTAACTCAATAGTACAGGACCAAACCATTGTTGGGCGTGCTTCCCGGAAACTCGTGCTTTTTCATGTCCTTGTCGCCAGTCTTGAGGATCATGAGCCAAGTCGAGCCGAAACCTGTTACGCTGCAAATCCAAAAGCACCTCTGCATAGAGCTCTCCTTTTGGGCCACAAAATAATGTCCTGAATGCGCGGATCAGGTATTTGGGCCCAACGCTCTGTGTTGCTGTCCATGAGAAAGAACCTCACTCACCCAAAAATAGACTTTCAGTAAGTACCCTGCAGCTGGCTCACCAACATGGATGAGGCCATTTCCCCCCCCCCAAAAAAAAAAAACAAAAACAAAAGTACCCTGAAGCAATCATCATCTGTGCGGGGTGTTCGTCTGGACACACCTCGCCCCCGCCCCCAGGCCGCATCCCGAGGCCAGCTGCTGGGAGAGATCTGCGCTCAGCTGCCTTAGCTCTCAAACTCAGTGGGTTGAGACCCCAAAACACCAAAAAACCTGAGGGGCTCGAGAAACCCAAAGGACGTGTTGGGAAGCGATCCGGGATCTGCGGCCCCAGATGTCAAAAAGGGCGGCTTTGAGCACCAGCGACACCCAGACAAACCGCAACTCACCAGGAAACCGACCCTAAACCAGCTGTAAATCCACCCTCCCACTGTAAACTGTAAACCAGCCCAAAAGCCTTGTCAGGCAATGCCCGGTTGATGAGCCATCCCAATTGACCCCTTCATGTCCAGGAGTTCTTCAAGGGACTGTGTCAAAGGTGTGAGTCACTCGAACAGTTTCATGCAGGTGTACTGTTGAGAAGTTCCGAAGAGCGACAAAAGATCATTTTGACTCATTCCCAACTAGACCTGCATCATCATGCCTATATGTTGCGTAATCCACGACAATCTAGTCACTGATAAGGACCTGTTGATATCAAAGAGATGCTGTGAGTGCCTGATTAGTAAAGCGTCAGCTTCTGCAAAACTGATAGGCACTGGTCGGCATCGTTCGGTATTGGCTAAGTAGTGTGTTTGTGCTGTGTAGAACTGATTGGAACTGGTCAATATTGGTATCCGTTTACTGTAGTATCTTTCAGACTTGGGAAGGAACCTCAAGGCACCCATTGCAACTATTTGTTGGGCAACACTGCTGGGGGGCCTCCGAAGGAAATTCTTTTCTCGAACAGGGTTTCCACAAACACTATCATGTGTCAGGGGCCTGGGCTGGACTACTGTGCACTTTTCTTGGCCACAAAGAAGTTTTGCAGTTTGGGTGCTCAGTCCTCTCCATTTTAGGATTAAACGGAAACACCTGCATGGCTTTGTCTCAAATTGGGGATGCCCCCCGACGATAGGTGCCCTTTTGGACTTTCTTGGTTCTCCAAGAAAGACACAAAACCACTTTACATGGAAATGGTTTCCTCGAAAACCCTTCCTAAAAAAATCGCCTTCCCAAAAGAAAGCCTTCCTGAAATGTCACCCCCCCTTCAAATCTTTGGTTTACCGGACAACTCCCCTTTCTCGTCCGGTTTGGGGCGCCCTGCGCTGTGGGCAGCTCGACCTCAGTTGGGAATCCACATTTAAAAAAGCGCTGCCAGGGGGAAGTGACATCCCTTCACCCCACAAAGTGAAAGGCACCATTCCCGGTAGTTGGTAGGTCAATGGGATGTCTATGCCACGGAGGGAATTGCAAACCCCCTGCAATTGAGTAACGAAGAGGAGCTACACACATGACTGTCCGTTCCAGCGATCAGAACCCGTTTAGAACCCGTTGAACAGGCCCTTGATCTTGGGCAGGCGCGGGGGCTGTGGTCGAAGAAGATCCAAACAAAGGCATCCCCTTCGGAAACAAAACTAAGGCAAGGTGCCATTCAGTACTGTCTCAAGATGAGCCCCCCCTTTTTGGTGTTCAGGAAAAAAAAACAGCACTCGTCTTTCGCTTCCCCTTTTTGGAAGCACCCAATCGGCATCCGCAGGCCAAAGTTCTCCGATTCGGGCCCAGACTTGTCCGGCGCCCGAGAGTGCGGACTCATCCCTGGCAGACAAGGCGGGCATGCACATGTCAGCAGCGCCCTAAACCCGTTGACCTTCGGCGCTACCATGCGGTTGTGAAGGCTTGTCTTATATTAGCCTTACACTGTGTTGGACGCTGCTCATGTAGCAAATTGACACATGGTTGGCTTGTTGTGCTTCGAAAGGAGATCCCCAGCTTTCCCTCAAACACCATCCAAACAGAGGTCCCCACGTTAGACACACTCCAATGAGGGATGTCTCTTGAGGGCCCTTCTGCTCTTGAGGGCCCTTCTGCTCTTCTCAATTGACGACTTGTTCTGCCTTCGCCTTTGAGGCCATCGTGCTCTTTTTCCTCTTCCAAGCGTCCCAAAACACATCCTTTCGAAGGTTCCATGAGCACTTGGTAAATCTAGTGATACTGGTCAACGTATGTCCATTCAGGAATCTGGTGCCGATATTTATGCGTGTCACTTCAATAAAATGGGGCTGCCAGTGAAACCTGCTGGGCCCAACAACGATACAATCCAAAGTCAGGATTGTCGTGATGCTTCGTGGATGCATCGTCTCAGTGAGTAAATCCACTGCCTGAATGTATGTGTGTGAGAGAGAATGAGCGAGCTGCAAGTGCACAATGATGCTATCAACTCTGATGATATTCACTCCGGCGAAGCAGGCTCCCAACAGTTGCCGCGACACTCGCAAGCCAATACCCCTCCCATCTTTACAACACGACAACAATTCACCAACCTGAAAGCAAGGACCCCCAGGAAAGGAACCTCCAACTTTCATCCTGGGCGCGAATAAATGTCCTTTACAATGGTTCTCCTTGAAATTACAAGCCCCAAAAAAATCCTGCAGCAAAATCGGAAACTTCGCTCGCGGGAGTCGATTTGACTCCTTTCCCACCTTCGCCAGAAGCGCAGCACTGAGGATGCCTGGCAAAAAAGTTTAAAAGCATGTGGCTGACCTTTATCCTCCATTTGCGTTTTCGCCCCCTGGAAAAAATCGACATATTATGGCCAATAGTGATAGATTCCCTTTGAAACCAACAGGTGAAAATTAAAAAATGGTCTTAAGCAAATGGAACTCATAGGGACCATGGATGTTTTCTTTGTTGGCCAGAACGAGCTTCAAATCACATGTGAGGGAAGGGAGCTTTGGATGCTCCAAGTACCTCAGCTTCAGGCTGGGGCCATGCCCAACAGCGGGCTCTAAAGTCCCGTGGGTTGAACATCCAGAGCTGTGCCCATGGGGAAAACTGTTGGCACTTTCCTTTGGGGGTGTCCCTCTCCAGAGAATAGGAGAGGAAAGATGACCCCAAATTCTGGAGGATAGAAAAGGAAAAAACAAAAAATCAACAACAAAAGAAGAAGAAGAAGAAGGCAAAACACAAAGTATCCAGTTTTGGGCTCCACCCCCCTCCGCACGTAGCCGATTTGCAAACTGAGAACCGGGCGGCCGCTGGGCAGTTCTCCACCTTTCGTGCCTGCGAGAGGCAGCTGAGGTTCTCGCCCTATTCGGGTTGCGACTTATTCCCCTCGATGAAAATCCGACCATTTTGGGCGGGGAGGGGGGCCCTAAAACACACACACACACACCCATCTCTGTCTATAGATCACCAGAAACCAAAAGGGAACAACAGTGACTAGTTTAACAGGGGCAGAATTCGGGGAACGTACCAACATCCAGTTGAAATCGATTTGCAAAGTGATCTCTAAAATCGAATGGGGAAACCTGCATGAAATTGGCTTCCCAGCAACAACCAAAAGTGGCCCCACCCCAGCGCACTTGTTATTCGCTTTCAAAGAGGGTCACCAAAGGGTCCAATTAAAAGGCATCCCATTTTTTTACAACCCGGTACAAAGGAAGCCTACTCGAAAGGGTGGTCGCAACCAAAATGTGATTCTGGCTCATGCGAGTTGGAGGCGTGGCAACGCGCTTCCCGCCGCAAAGCTCTGCAGCCACTTCGGCAGGGAGCCCGCGTCTCCGGGCAGTACCTCCCATGACTCGAGAGCAGGAGGGGCCCTGGAAGACATGGGTATGAATGAATCCATGTTCCCCCCTCAAAAAAAGGTAAACAAATAACGAACGAACAAATAAATACATCATCCATTAATTTAACAATTGATCAATTTATCGAATAATTAATTAATGAATGAGTTCATTGATTAATTAACGAATTAAATACTTCATTGATTGATTAATTACAAAACTACTAGAGGACGATTGGCCCGAAGGCATTTTTCTCCAAGCGCTTTTCCGGAAAGTTTACTTTGCATACTACTTTCGTACTTAGAAGCTGCGATTTTCCCGCCGGAGCTGCAAAAGTTTACGTCGTGTAATGCTTTCGAACTTCAAAGTTACAATTTTCCAGCCGGAGCTGCGCAAGTGTACTTCGCGTACTACTTTCGTACGTAAAAGTTGCGATTTTCCAGCCGGAGCTGCAAAAGTAAGTGTACTTCGCGCTCAAAAGTTGAGCCGGAGCTGCGAAAGTTTACTTCGCGTACTACTTTCGTACTTAAAAAGTTACGATGTTCCAGCCGGAGCTGTGAAAGTATACTTCGCCTACTACCTTCACACTTAAAAGTTGCGATTTTCCAGCTGAAGCTGCCGCGGACCAGGGGAATCGAACCCGCGACCGCGGGATTGCAAAAGCAGGCGCGCAAGCCACGAGACAACTTCCAAAGGCCATTTCGCGAGCAAGGAAATCGCACGGCGCCACAGCGAGAGCGCCTTGACACGCACGATCTCCGCAGAGAGTTCGCCGAGACTAAGACGAATTCGCACAGCACCACAGCGAGAGCGCGTCGACACGCGCCACGAACGATCTCCGCAGGGTCGCGCGCGCACCGCAAGAATTGTAAAAAGTCCACAGTTTTTTGACATCGACCACGCGGATCTCCGCAGAGGGTCGCGGGCGCATCGCAAGAATCGTAAAAAGCCCACAGTCTTTTGACATCGACCACGCGGATCTCCGCAGAGGGTCGCGGGCGCACCGCAAGTTTTTTATCCTCGACCACGCGGATCTCCGCAGAGGGTCGCGCGGGCACCGCAGAAATCGTGAAAAGCCCCCAGTTTTTTTAGCCTCGACCACGCGGATCTCCGCAGACGGTCGCTCGGGAACCGCAGAAATATTTTATCATAAAACGTCCTCAGCTTTTTAACCTCGACCGCACGAATCTCTGCAGAGGGTCGCGCGCGGCTTGCAAGAATCGTAAAAAGTCCTCAGTTTTTGAACCTCGACCACGCAGATCTCCGCAGAGGGTCGCAATCCTGAGCGATGATCAAACTCCCACCCCGGCGCCTTATGGAAACCAAACTAACTCACATAGCTGCTTACGCTGAAGCTCTCCGCAAGCTCTACCTAACCTTGGCTCTGTGCCACTTGGCTCTGTGCCACTTGGCTCTGCGCCACTTGGCTCTGCGCCACTTGGCTCTGTGCCACTTGGCTCTGTGCAACTTGGCTCTGTGCAACTTGGCTCTGTGCAATGCAATGCAACTTGGCTCTGTGCCACTTGGCTCTGTGCCACTTGGCTCTGTGCCACTTGGCTCTGTGCAACTTGGCTCTGTGCAACTTGGCTCTGTGCAACTTGGCTCTATGTAACTTGGCTCTGTGCTACTCGGCTCTGTGCAACTTGGCTCTGTGCAACTTGACTCTATGTAACTTGGGCTCTGTGCAACTTGGCTCTATGTAGCTTGTCCAAGGGCTCCGCACGGAAGAACCCTTCGCGATGCTTTCGGGAAAAATAAATAACAAACACACAAAGACCACACAATCCAGTGGTGGTGCCCTATTTAGGCAATGTTCAAACATAAAAGCTGTGTATGGGTCGTTCATGGGCTTTGCATGGGTTCTTGGGCATTTATGGATTACATAACACTCAGTGGATTGCTGAATCATCCACGTCACCATACCGCGGTCCTGTCTGAATCAAACAATGGCCGGGCATGTCGCACTGTCGTCAATTTGCCTGCCCAAATTCTCATGGGGAAAGAAACTGAAGCTAGGCATCATGTAAGACGTCACACAAAACAGTTGCCAAGAACACCTAAACCAAACTCGCCCTGGGCCTCAACTTGCCGACTTCTGTCGAGATCTCCCAGCTTGGTCTGGTTCATCCTCTCAAGCTGGCCCTTCGCGACACCCCCTGCCCCTGTCGCAAGGAAAGCAACAGGACATCAACCATCTGCAATACGTCCAATCCACTTCTCTGAAATCTGCAAGCCTGCTCCGCTGCTATTCATATTGCAGTACAGTATGGCATGGGGTCAAGTATCGGTGGATATTTTTGGTAGTCGCCAATTCCGCGGGAGAGTCCCACAACCGGCCCGGCGATCCAATTGCAACCGTCACGCAGCTGTCCTTCGGCTAAGTTGTTGCTCCCAGGCTCCCAGCCCCAAGACTTTCTCAGAGGATCTGGGACCTCCCCCGCAATGTGGTTCCAATTGTCACGATATTTTCCGCAACCCTGTTCGTTCCAGTTGACTCTGGATGTTGTATCAGGTGCCAACTCCCTTCTTCTGGGTGGGTACCTACTAAGGTAGTTGAACGCGCTCGGCTAGGTGGAAAGAGCCACCCCCCGCTCACCAGCCCTCGCTCGCGCACCACGTCTAAGGAGGAGCGTGCCACTACGGTGTCAGACCTGCCAGGAGCTCCGTTTGGATCGACTCTCTTACCAGTAAAGCGGCGTTCTGCACACGTGGAACATATCATAATATATGCATGTACATAACGTGGCGTGGCGTGACGTGACGTGATTAAATGCAATGCAATGAAATGAAATGCAATGCATTTGCATGTATGCATGCAGTTGCATGTATGTATGCGTGTATGCACGCATGTTCATATTCCGGACAAGGAGTTCAAACAGTAAACCCACAGTGCGTTGTCTCCAAAACCGGGCAAAGGGCCTTGCCACAATGAACACGGTTGAAGCAAGAGGCATTGAGCTCCACGTGCGGAGATCTTGAGTTGCGTTGCCACATGCAGAGCCACTACACCCCAAGCACTGAAAGCCATTGCTTGTTGGAGAAAGGGCATGGAAGGTAGCATTTCGAAGGATCCGTATTCCTCCACATGTGGGTTCTCTTCTTCCAGCTGGCGAAAGGGGGGCCACTGATTCACAATGGGATGATTCATCAGGGATGAACTGGGCACCACATGGTAGATTTGCTAGTTTGACGCAATTCAACACATCGGGGTTTATATACAAACTCTTCAGGTTTCGCTCGAGCCTATTCGATTCAGTTGGAAAGCATAGATGCTCAAGACATGTCAGCAGCCCGAATGGTGTTGTGGTTGCTGTGCTGCCGCCGCCGACAACTCTCTGCTAATTCCCCCTGCCCCCCCTCGCCCCCTAACACCCCCCAATGCCCAACCTACTTCGGCCACCTCAAAGCCAATCTTCCGGATTCCAGCCTTGAGTGTACCCTTAAATGCTAAGTTGACTCATCCAGCCATCTCCCCCACTCCCAACCTCCCACTCCCTACCCCCACTCCCACCCTTCCCTCGGGACATGTCGGCAGGGCCGGACATCCACCGCCAGCGTCAGCGAGGCCAAGGGCGCCTCCGCCACCGGCACCACCAGCGCCGCCAGCAGCGCCGAGAGACCCCGGTGCCGGCCTCGGACCCCGCGGAATGCGCGCGCGTGCGGGTTTCTAAGGCTGGACCCCCAAAGTGGCAAAACGGGCGTCCCGTTGGTTTCCCTGTCCGAAAACCAAAAACAGGCCCACTTGGATTGGACACCTCAAGGCTTGACAAAGAATAGGTCATATAAACATGTAACAAAGGATTGGCCCAGCCCTCAGTACCCTCCCTCCATATGGAAGCTGACAGGAGGTGTTGAAAGATTGTTTTTTTCTTGGTAAAGCCCCCTGTCCACTTCCACGATGGAGGGAGGGTACCCTTCTTGAGTTTGTTTAAAGGGAAACCACAAGAAAACCAAAGCCCAGTTTGACCGTACGTGGGGCCTCCGCGCAGAAATCGGCACACCGTCGAATTTCGGGTGTTTTTTTTGGGGGGGACTCCTCATTTGGTTGGTTGTAAATCAGAAGGAAAACCACATTTTTGGGGATCTAAAAGAAAGACAATGACAAACCTTCTCAGCCATGCTTCTCCGAACATCTGGGGTAACAAGACCGCTTTGGATGTCCTTATGCAAGATTCACTTTGTGAACACACAAGGAAGTTTGTTCCAGGTGCTCCAATGGTAATCGTAAGTTAATAATAGTTGCTTACATTGGGATTTGTTGTTGGTTAGTGAACCCCGATATTTTAAGCGCGACTGTGAGGAGAGTTGCAGAGCTGATGTTTGTCTGTGCCATCCGCACCACTGTCAAGCTTTTGGTTTTTCCCACCCGGCTCCTGTTTTAGATACGGGCGCTAAACCAATCATGTCAGTCTCCTGCTCTGGGTGGTGTTAGGAGAGGAGGTTGGCTCAGGATATGGCCCTCAATCACTCTCCCCATAAGCAGAAGCGCTGTTCCCTGATGTTTCCCTTTCATGGAAACGACGCATCATCTACCAAGCCTTTACTCACCCCGCACGGTTTGGCAGCAAAAGCTGGCTTCATGACCCAGGGGCCGTGGCGCAAGCGCCTCGGTCCACTTGGCTCCAACTCGGTCCCCCTGTGCGCCAAAGGTTGGAGGGCCCTCCAAGAGGCCACTCATGGCTCTCAAGCCCCAGGGTGCGTCTGCGACTTTCCTGTGTATTTTAAAGGGAGAAAGAAAGAAAACAATGCGAACATCGAAGCCCATGGGTTTCAAATGCCACGAATCTCATTGCGATTCGAAGCCCGCGAGCCCGCGAGCCCCGTGAGCCCAGCCAGCCCAGCGAGCCCCCCGGCCGCAGGGCAACAACTTGAGCCAGGGCGTCAAGTTCTCGGTGCACACCGGCTCGTAGGGTAGCGTGGCCTCATTAGATGCCCAAAAAAAAACAAGAACCACATCAGGCAGGGAGCCAATAAACCTGGGCTCGCAACGGAGTTTGGGAAAATTATCAAACGCAGCTCTGCTCATTGTTCTAATCTTTGGTGAGAAAAGCTGGGCAAATTTTCGATTCACAAACCAGACTTGGGCGTGTCTTTTTGTTGGCGGTACCCCTGTTTTGGGCTGTGCCCTTTTAAGGGAAACCAACCGGAAAACCGAGTTGCCGTTTTGGGTGCCGGCCCAAATCCTAGCAACAGGACACACCCAAAATAACACCTCTATGTAACCTACTATTTTCCTTTTCATTTTTGAGGGGTGGTTCCCTTGGTTACTTCTACAGGCAAATGGAATTCACCCAGAGAACTCACCGGGGATCCCCAAGCCAGGGACCTTCCTTCGTCTCGCTCCGAGGCTCGCGCCAGGCGCAAGCTTTGGCCGCTGTGTTCCGTTTGCCAGGCGTCCGGAAGCCGCAGCGGGCGCGCCCCCGTGTTGGAGCTCTGGAGCCTCTCGCCGGTTTCGGAGCGTGCGAGAAAGCTCCCCCAGCGTACTGAGAAGTGGAGGTAGTTTGGTGGTATGTGTGTGTGTTGTGCCGGTTGGTTTTTGCGTTTTGAGCGTACCAGTGTTTGGGGGTTGGGTTAAGCTCATTTTGAGAGCACTGAGTTCAATGTTGAGCGCAATGGGCGTTCGAAAGGTTTGGGGTCGATTTAAATTAAGGGGGAAAGGGCATTGGGAAACCAGGGTCCGAATCACTATTTTGACACACACACACACAGGAACACCTCGTTTTCCGGGCTCCATGTTTTAGATTCCCCTCAAGGCTAATATGCAACCCTGGGGTGGTGGATTTCCCCTGAAGAGGCAAACCCGGTTTGAGCATTCCTTTGGGGGGTAATCAAAGAAATATGTGAGAACCCTGTTTTTTACGGGCTTTTTTTTAAACAACATGTCGAAAAAACATGGGTTTCATACGGGTAATTTACCCAAATGACCGGAAACACATGGCCAGCCGAGCAAGTACGGCCAAATACGGGAGTTTGACCGGAAAAAGAAAAAAAGCCAGACGGGGTGCCAGGTGGCAAGGATCAGTCCCATTTCTCACATTGCTCCCAATGGTAACCGGCCAAAACGGATCGCCGGGTTACCTTTTGACTCCTAAACGTGGCCATCCCGGGTAACCAGCGAGTCAGTCAACCTTTGGGGTGGGACTTGTGCTAAATTGGGGGTCTGGACAAAACAAGTACCCAGCCTCTTTGGGCTTCCCTTCGGGTAGTACATTAAATCTGACCAGCTGTTTAGCACCCAAATAAAGTAGATCAGAAAGGAAAACCCGCCAGTCGGATTTGGACGAAGCCGCAATCAACGGCATGGCCTGTTGCAACTATGCCACCCCACAAAAGGGACGAATTCCATGACGAACTGCGTCGTGTTCGGACACCCGACTGTTTCTTTGTGTGACAGTTGTCAATCTTGCAAGTGCTACTTGGGCGACCAGCACTGATTTGTGTCCCTTTTCAACGTTTACCCTGGCCAAATGCGGGCTTCAAGCTGCTAGTCGTTAGCAAAAATATGTCTGCCAACCTTTGGGGCTGGCTGCTGATCTGCATGGTGCCAACATTTCGAGTACACAGTGACAGATTTGGGGCATTCAGCCCTTTTCAAACGGGGAATTGAAAGGGAGGTCTTTTCGCTCTGCTCATGTTCGGCATATTGAGAGGAGCTGGGCTCACACCATTTGCATGGAGGTTCATGTCCACCAACCAATTTCGAGTGTGTTCCCACTAAGATTCGTGGCCTCCCTGTAAAAAGCAACCTCTTGGCCGGTAGCCGATGAACGTTGCATCGCGCTTGTTCGAGCCCTTGCTCTAAGCAACACTTTGGACGCCGAAGCCAACGGAGTTCACCTCTTGCTCCATGCAAGCACGGAGCTGAGACACACAAGGTTTAACTCTTAGGACACACCCATGCCACGAGTGCCCCTGATTGGTGGGACATTTCGTGAGTCACCCGTCCCTAGATTCATCCGACGGGACGTTGTCGGAAATGATGCGGCTGCGAACTCCTGAATGAGTAGCCCGTCCTCAGGATTGATTGAACTGCACTCTTCCAGAAGGAATATTTATGCTCAGGTCGTGCGGCTTGCACTGCACTATGTTGGTGCAACAAGTAGCGTCATGCAAACACTGCAAACATGGATGAACATGCGCATGCATGCATACAAGCGTATATGCATGTGTATATATATATATACACACATACAGAACATATGTTCACTCAAACGTTTATACATATGTGCTGCGGGCAAAGCTTCTGAATGTGCGTGAAGAGCGCCTTCGCGTACATGCCATTGCTTCTGGAAGGCCCCAAGAGGAACGAGCAACTCCCCACCGTACTGAGAACAACCGTACAATTTGCAAAATGAGCCCGATGGCATTCCCGTTACATGAACTGGCAGTGAATGTTTTCCATATGCCCCCTTCCATCATGTGCCAAGATGACAAATGGCAACCTGACTTCGAAAATGGTCACTTTGGTCTGCTTGACGACATGCAAACCCCTGCCCCCCTTGAAATCGCGCCTGGATGCCTTGCCCTCCGTTTCCACCGTCTCCGCGCTAGAGAGCGCAGGGTCCATGCCTGGGCGGCGGCTTTCCGGACTTTGCAGGGGAACCTTTTGGGGAATCGAATTCGCCAAATTGGCGATTCGTCTGTTGAGTCTCTCGCGTTTGGCCTAGCTGGGCTGCCCTGGAATCGGGAGCATTGGTTGAGGCCCACATTCATTGGATAACCATGTTTCTTCGAGGGGGGGGGAGCTTCCTATTCCTTTGATTTGTCAGCCGCAGCAGCAACGGCAAGGCAACCTGCCATACAGCTGCTTTGTTCGTTAGGTGTGAGCGGAGCGGAGTTGTTTCCCCAAACTTCTGCCCTTCGACTCATACAAGAATGAGTGTCCCTCCCTACCAGCAGGTTTCATGAATGGCGGTGGGGTGTGCGTGCCCAGCACGTGAACGCTATGGGCTCCAATCAGCCCAAACCTGGACCCAACCAAATAAGGTCTTGCCCCAGACAGGTGAAACCTATGCGAACCAGCCCCTCAAACCTAACCCACAAAAGCAGACCAAACCAAACCAGAAAAAAATCACGCTCAGGGGCGGGCCATACGCCACCCAAACACGAAAAACAATTCGTACGAGAGGGGCGCAAAGCGCCAGAGCATCGTGGGAAATGGACGCCGGCCTTCGAAGGAGGCGCACAAAGAGCCCGACAGAGTGGACACCTCGGGCGGTGTCGCCAGAGTCAGCCATTGGGGGGTAGGTGTGCTGCTTTGCATCCTCAGTCTTGCTCATTCCCGAGCAAGGAATGCTTTTCGGTCATGGACTGGCATGTGCAGTCAAGATATTTGTTTCTAGACAAATTAACAAAAAGACAGATGAGTCTTTCCTCTCCGGTGTTTGGCGCTTGAAACTTAGTGAGCCCCTGGCCTCTCAAGGGCATTGTGGTTCAGCGGACAGGCAGAGGCCGAAATCTGAATAAACCCCACGCAGGCTTCATCGGTGCAGCAAGAAGCGAACAAACAATCCTTGTTTCAAAACGGCTGGATGAATTGAATGGCGCATGGCGTTCCAAGTATTGTTGGCAAGTGCTCAGGCACCCAACGGCCAGCGTTTATTGAAACACCGTTCAACCAACAACTCATGGAATTATCTGATGCCCATCTTTTCAACACCCACAGGTGCTACAAAGGAGAATGTCGCAACACAAACAACAAGTCAAATTGTTGAGTACAAAGACCGAGATACGTACAACCACAACTCTCCCACAGTCGAAGCCCTTTGCGTTACTTTGAAATTCCACCTCTGCTTAGGTCCTGAGGTTCCCGCAAGAAACCGGTAGGCCGCGGCAGTGGCCGACTCATCTTGGCCCTGATTGTGGTCGAGGGCTGGTGGCGGTAAACCTAGGTGTCCTTTTGGGAAATAGACGGCGCTGCTACATGACTAGAGCCAACCTGAAGCCACTAGAGTTCCATATGTTTTCCAAACTGACACAACATCGATGGCAGTCAAGCCACCAATGTGGACCCGATCAAACCCCTTCTATATGCCCAAGAAAACGGATGGCAAACCCGCGTCAGAATCCGCCAACCTTGTTCGGCGTGTTGGACACCTAAGAGAGAATAAAGGATAACCACCGGGGACACGTCTGAAACGAAGGGTTTTGAGGGGGGGGGGGGGGGGAAGTGACGACGTTCCCCTATAAAATAGTCTTACGGGAGCCGGTGTGAAAAAACAGGTGTCGCAGGCTCGAATCCCCCGCCGGCTCTCTGCGGGCTCAGGTCTTGCGCCTCCTTTTGCCGAAAACAGTGAGAACCGCGGGGTTTGTTCGACCGCCTTTTCGCGAAAACGTTGAAAACTACCGTCTTTCGTCTTTTGGTCTGTATTGTTGGTGAGCGCCACAGTGGAACTTGGCCTCCTCCAGGCTGAAAAACACTCTGGTGCTTGGCATCCTTTTGGCAAAACCGTTCAAGAGTGACGGGGAAATTCGGGGGAAATGCATGGAAATGAAGGGGAAATGCAGGGGAAATGCAGTGGAAATGCCAGGGAAATGAAGGGAAAATGAAGGGGAGGAAACGAAGGGAAACTGAAAGGGACATGAAGGGGAAAGGAACAAGAAATGAAGGCGGAATGAAGGGGAAACAAAGGGAATGAAAGACAGTGAAGGGGAAATGAACGGAGGGAATGGAGGGAGATGTCGGGAAAGGACTGGACATGAAGGGGACATAGGAAGTGAAGCCGAAAGGGGAAAAGGACAAACTGAAGGAAATTCCGGGGCCATGGAAATGAGAGGAAATGACGGGACATGAAAAGGAAAAGGGGGAAATGAAGGGGAAATCAAGGGGAAACGCATGAAATTTGAAGGGGTAGCAAAGCGACAACAAAGGGGATATGAAGGGGAAGTGCACGGACATAGAGGCAACTCGGGGGAAATGACGCTGCAATGGGCAAACCCTGCCTCGGCTTAATGCAGGGGAACTTAGAAGGATACGCAGCTGTGCAATGTCGGCGGACTGAGCCGGAGGCTCTAAAGTAGTAACCCTTGCGACAGCTGTCCTCTCCCACAATGGAAGTGGACGGAAACTACCACCATCTCAAAAAGGGCTGGGGTCGCACTCTCTGACTATGGAAAAGCAGTCCGCCCAAAAGAACCACATTTATGTTTGGTAGGCCATGCTAGCAAGTGTTTGCTGGGCCTACAGTAGTTACTGAGATCTTTTCCGTTGCCCCTGAAATAGCAATGTTGTTCTCGCATCTCATGCGGCTTCTTGCCTGAATGTTGACCCGCATATCACGAGCCCCGATGTAGTTTGGCACATGTCCTTTCAAGCACCTGTCAAAGATCCCTTCTTTTGCGGGTGTCTCATGATAACCAAGCGCTAGGTCCAAAGGATAAGATCTCACTTTCTCACTTCGACCACTGAAAACACAGTACGGTCCACTTGGAAACACTCGGATGGTTTGCTGTTCTTTCTCGAAAGATGGTATGCACACACACACTTGCAGGCTCATCTCTCACTGAATGACTCAGTTAGCAGATTGCAGCCGTGCTTCTAGGGCAAACCCCCACCATCCCAGTCACAATGGTGGTGCAAACCAGAACTTGCCATGCAAGGAGGAGTGTGTGATTTTCTTTGTATCAGCAACTGCCTCTTGCAGGTGATCTCTTGCCTTGCTTGTCTGAATGGCCATGGGGGGGAAACACAAAAGAGGCTCCTTTCCTGGTTTTAAGCGGAAACTCATCCTGATAAACCCTGGGGAGGGCGGGAGGGGGGGAGGGGAGCCGGCCTTATTTGGGGCTTATTTGGGGCTTATTTGGGCCCCCTCCCCTCCCCCCCAGCCCCCATCCCATCCGCAAAAGGAAAGAGTGGCACTGGACAACCACGAACAAGCTCCCGCCGCAAGCCCCCACCCAGCCCAAGACTCCACGGTTCGCCTGCAACGCAGCCGCCAGCACTGCCCCCGGCGGCCGGAACCTCGGGCAACCCACTTTGCGACACTAAGATTGAGAGGTTGAAAAAGCTTCAAGCAAAGTGACTTACCCTCCCTCCAACAATGGAAGCTGATGGGAGGGTTGTGGAAGACTCCTTTTCCTTTTTGGGGAATCTCTCTGTCCACTTCCATGGACGCTTTCCGACAATAGGGGGACAAGCCGTGAAAAGGTCCGAGTCAGGCAGGGAGAGGCCAAGGGAGCCAAGAACAAGGTCCGAGGTCAGGCCTGTCCCGCTCAGGAATTTTGGCCCTGGATGCTTCCAGCTCTGAATGCCCGCTTTCACAAGGGTCAGTCGTCCCTGGACAAACAAGAGGACCCAACACCAAGCTTCTACGCTTCATTGGTCATCTAGAGGCGAAAAGAGCCTACTGGACACTACTGGACCCAGCCTCTATGGGTGTTGCTATTTTTTTTAAGGGGAACCCCCTTTTGGGGAAGCCTTTTTTCAAGGGAAACCAATGGATAAAAAGCACACATCTTCTTTTTGTGGGGGGGGGGAACCCCTTTACGGAAACCAAAGGATGAAAAGCACTCCACACATCGCTTGTGCGGGGGTGCCCCGTCCCTTTGAGACGACCCCCTCGAAGAAATGTTCGCTAGGCCCCGGGCTCCCAGGGCGCTTCGCCCCAGCCGCGCTTCCAGCGGCCCCGGGTCAGCGTGGCCTCGAAGGCTTCGATGGCCGGATGCCTAGGGCGCGCGGAACTGCAGGGAGGTGGTACCCCCGTTTTGGGGTGGGGGTGAAGGAAACCACCGAAAAACCATTTCGCCCTATTTGATTTTTTGGGGGGAGGGGTCCCAATCCGAAAAGGGAGGTGGGAAACCAAAAGGAGAACACGTTCGCCGTTGTTTTTTATCTTTTTTTTTTTTTTTTTTCTCGGGGGAGGGGGGGGGGGGATTGGGTTCTTCAACAAAATAAAGCCACTGTTGCTGCAAAACAGGGGGACATTTGAGGACCTGTATTACTGGACCACCGGCCAAGCGTGACCGACAGGGAGAGAGGGAAAAAGGGAAAGAGGGAGAGAGTGAGAATATGAGCCATGGAGAGAGGGACTAAGGGTCCCAAACTAGGCACTATGTTTGTCAACCAACCAGTTTGCATTTGTTGGCTCTGGTTGATAGGCCCATCTCGTAGGATAACTTGTACAACACACTTTCCACCTGCACGAAATTAGATTACCCTGATTTAAGGAGTGCGACTTAAGGGATGGATCCTGCGTGAAGCATCCTATGGGGTTTTCAACTGCCCGGCCATTCAAGCAAACTCAATTTCAGCGAGGGTCTAAATGTGTCAAGAAAGACGTAAGGATTCTTTCATCGTTTTGTTCCATGTCCTGCAGGCCAGGGCAAAGTGCTTCATGGCAATGGCCAGGGTCCCATGCACAGTTCTGTGGCCCTTTAGCATGACCTAGCTTGAGAAGGGGTGACACGAAAGGTAGGATACCGTAAAGTGGTCCCCCTAATCAAAGGAAGGGGCTTGCATCGAATACCATTCGGGTGCGCATGGAGCCCAACAGCTTGACTATGTTAAGAGGCAATGTCCGTTCCGCGAAAAGGGGAAGTACTTGTTGACCATGTACATTGGGCACTGACGAAGCGAGCAAGGGACAAGGTGCACCGTGACTTGACGAGCAAAACGGTGCGAAAAGCAGACCGAAGTGTGAAGTGAAGCGAGCCAAAAGAGCTGAAAAAGGAGCGAAGCTGCCAATCAGGCACGCAGAGGCGGGGGGGGAGAGGGCGGACCAGGGGGGAGTCGAAAGCGGGGGGCCGATATTTCATTGGTGTTGTGGCCGGGCCGACCCCCAGATCCCCTCACGCAAGGACAAACTCAAGCTAGCCTCCTTGACTACCTTTCGTGAAAAGAGCTGCAAATGGCAAATCTTGATCTGACATGCTGAGGTGAGCATCGTCAAGGGTGGAGGAAACATACGTGACAGCTGGGCCGGGAAGTAGCTGAACAATTGGTGGGTTGTGAGAGCTGAGTTGGGCAGTGGGTAAGTTCGGGAGTTCCGAAAAGTAGGGCCGGGAAGAGCTAAGACAAAATTATTGCTCTGATCGCAACATGTCGTTCATACTCCAACACCTGACGTGCGCACAAATTGAGAACATGACACTACCGACTCAATTGGCAACCATCCAAACTATGTGCTTCCCAATAAAGACATGTCCCCAAATGAATCATTGGCGAACCAGCCAGTTCCTCACTACATGCCGAGCACATGCAACCTTCCGGCGCGGGGGACACCCCCAAGAAGCAGCCGCTCCGAAGGTTCGACCACTTTTCAGCCAGGGCTTTTGCCCAGCGATCCAAAACCGCGCAGCAATTGCTGCGCAACACGGAAAACGGCGCGGGGCGGGCTGCAGCCAAGGGCACAACGGACCCCTGCAACATGGTTGATGTTCCATGAGTTCCCTTTAAAACCGACCTGAAAAGAGTGCCTGAGATAGATCCATGTAAGAGGGCTGGGTGGAGACCAAAGCGCCCATTATTTATTTCCGAGCGATCCGCGCTCAAATGTTCACCCTGCAGGGTCACCCTTCTGAGTACACGAATGCTTTAAAAAAAATGCAGAATAGAGTCTGCGAAGAAGCACAGCTTTTGTCAAACCAACAAACCAGCCCACAGTGGCCACGCCCCCTCTGTTCCAGAACTAGCTTAGCTTAAATGGGGAATTCAATGCAGCGCACAGCACACAACCAAAGTTCATGCGCCGGAGCTGCCTCTGCATCAGCCGCGATGCACGGCATCACCAACAACCGGCAAAGGTGCAAAGAAACACAGCCAACGTGTGGGCGATTGTTTATTGAATTGCCACCAACCAGGTGGTCTGCATGGGAGCAAGGAGTGACACTTCAAAACTCCACGCACCCTCGCCGCGGAAAATGAAGGCCGAGAAGCGCTTGCTCGACGTGCGCTCCGCGCTCCGCTTCTTTCGCTGCCGTTTCACCTTTGGATCGGCGTTCCCATTTGCGGGTAGTCCAGGTGCATTGAGTACAGGAGGGTCTTAAGCTTTCCCTCGTCGCTCAACACCTCGTTGGTCTTATCCACGATGGAGGCATGAAGGTGTGTACCTTTCGAGGCCATGCAAATCCATGGAGACCTCAATGTGCAGAAAGCTGTGGGGCCCAAATTGTCTCTCATCTCTGTGCTTGTGATAGTCTGTGTTGGTACACGTGTTTGTTTGCATCAGTGTTTGTCCTTTTGTGTTTGTCTTAGTGTTTGTAGTTGGTGTGTTTGTTTGTGTGTATGCATATTAGTATGTGTGTATCCATGTTCGCGTGTCTCTGTGCGTCTGTGTGTCTGTGAGCCGGTGTGTCTGCATGCCTTGTCTCTCATCTATCGCTCTGTGTGCCTGCGTGGTGTGTGTGTGTGTATGCGCACGTGTCATGGTGAATCCTCATTTTGAGACATCCAGTACGACAGGCGGGAGAAAGTGGCACGGATCTTAGGCGTTTGCAATGAGCCCATCCCGATTCAGCCAATGCCAACCGGGCCAACCCTGTGTCGAAACTGATAGAGATGACACCCGCAGGCCCAAAACTCTATGCGCACGCGCAAGCATGCACACAAATAGAGCATAGAGAAAGGAGCGAGAGAGAAAGAGGGAGAGGTTGCGAGAAACGAACATAACGAAGAAGAGCCAGAAAACGAGAGAAGCAAAGAGAAGATAATACACAAGAGAGAGAGAGAGAGAGATAGAGAGAGAGAGAGAGTGCAAAACAAAACAAAAAGAAGAAGAAGGAAGGCAGGAAAAAACAAAGAAAGGAAAGAGAGAGAGAGAGAGAGAGAGAGAGAGAGAGAGACAGAGAAAGAGAGAGAGACAAAAAGAGAGAGAGAGACACAGAGAGAAAAAGAGAGAGAGAGAGAGAGAGAAAGAGAGAGAGAGAGAGAGAAAGAAAGAGAGAGAGAGAGAGAGAGAGAGAGAGACAGACAGAGAGAGAGAGAGGGGGGGAGGGGGAGGGGGAGGGGAGGGGGAGGGGAGGGGGAGGGGAGGGGGAGGGAGCGAGCAAGGGAGGGAGAGAGAGACAGATCTTCCTGGCCAGTTGCTGAGCTGGCCAGACAGGTAGAGCTCCCGATGCCTGGACGGAACGGACACGAGTCCCCCCCCACAAAATATAGAAATATATATATATATATATATTGAAGGTGTCGTCTTTGCAATCATCCCCCAAAGGTTGAACAGTTGTTTGGCCGAGTCAGAACAGGTAAGGCAAACAACTCGAGAACTTGGCTGGCAGCTTGACATTGCCAATTCACTCAACCATGGACTGGGGAACGGAACTGGATTCGTCGCGATTCCTTGGGTTCAGCCCTTGACCAGTGGGTCAGACATTCCATGGCCTCTACTCCCTGCCCCCAGTCCCCTCAGGCTTGGAACACGTCTCCTATGGCTTGCGGTTTTTGTGCCTCGCGCGCGACATTATGTTTATAGTTGATTTTGTGTTTAGTTTATTTTCTTTATCGGTTCGGGTGCTATTGATTGAACATATTATTCCTTTCGCACAACAGTCGGACTTGGGAATAGACTCTTCGGAAGAAACTGGTCCCTAATGAAAGGTTCACCCATCTTCTACCCGGTCATTGTAGGAGAGGCCAGCGCCCTGAGTGCTGCAAAACAGGAACAAAAAAAAAACCAGTGGTTTGTGACGGTATTTTAGCCATGTATGTATCAGTCTGTCATTTTTGCAGAATCTATGGAAAGAATGCAATGTTAGTCATAGCTTCTGGGGGATTGTGGATTTACTGAGGTTGTTAAGTGCAAATTGGATTTACTGTTTTGGGGATTTTGCATCAAAAGGGGATTGTCCGCTACTAACCTTGATCTGGGCTGGAGCTTGTGCCTACCTTGTTTTGGGTTGTCATGGTTTTGTTTGTTACTGATTTAAGCATGGCACAACTATTTGACGTGTTTAGCTTTAGACAAAGAAATTGCTCTGGAGCGAAGATTACTAGAGAGCATTAAACAACTATGTCCGAGATGCAACCTCCAAAAAACAAGTCCGAAAAGTCGAAAAGTGTCCAGAATTTGTTGGGACTTTGGGATTTACGGAGGGCTTTGTGGATTTGTGGAAAAACTGAAGGACTTTTCACAGTGTTCATCCCGGACATCATTGCTGACGTGTTGTTTGCCGCGTGTTTGTTGTTTCTCGAGTTTGGTTTTGGGGTTTTGGATTCCTGAGCGTAGTTGTGTTGTTATTATTTGGGATTTAGTGAGGGCTTCTGTTTGAACTTCGATCGCAATCTTGGTTGCTGACATGTTGGGTTTGGGTTTTTGGTTTGCTGTGTTGTTTTTTGAGTTCGAGTTGTTTGCGGAAACTTGCCTGCATTTACTGAAAGCGGTTTGGAACTTTGGATTTACTGAAGGATTTTTGTTGGAAATGTCATCCCGGACATAGGTGCTGACATGTGTTGTTCTGTGTTGAATTATTTGTGTTTTTCAGAAATCTTGGACTACTGAGGTTTGTGTTTGCAATGTGGATTTAGTGTTTTCGTTGGGCATTTCCATCCCCTACTAACCTTGATCTGGGCTGGAGCTTGTGACTACCTTGTTTGGGGGTGTCATTGTTTGGTTTGTTTACTGATTTAACCCTTGCATGACTCAACACAAAGATGGGGCAAAATCAAATTTTGACATGTTTCAAAGATGCGGAACAACTCAGCTCTCACAGCGCTGCTTTCAGCATTTCAA